GCCTCCAGGCCGAAGGGAGACCGCTGGTCCGCGGACTGCATCCGAGCATGCTCGGGACAAGGGTGTCCCGTTTATCGTACGCCTCCCCACTTTTGTTCTCTCATGGCGGCGGACGCTGCTCCCTCAGCCACGGTCGCAGGCGGGAAACGACGCAGCGGCATCCAGAAGCGCAAGGGTCATGCTGATGCTAATCCTCCTGGTGGGCGGAGTGATCGCTCAAGGACTCCACCGCCCAATGACGAGGCCGTCCTCGACACCTTCGCCACCATGGCCTACGCCCAGTCCTTCAAAGACAAGTTCGACTTCATGGAATTGGCCATCTGGGACACCATCAATGTTTCAGTCTCCTCGGCGATGGGCGCGGCCACGGGCCCCATCACTGCTGCCATCGCCGCGGCCCAAGCTGGCATCAACGGCCTCTCGAGCAAGATCGAACAAGAAATCGGCCTCGCCGTGGGCCAGCAGATCGACGCCACTCGCAAGTCATTCCAGCAACAGTTCGACGCCTTCACCCAGCGCATGGGTGACATCGAGAGCCGCCAGGACCAGACCGACAAGGCCACTTCCCACATGTCTGACCAGATCGCCGCGCTCCAGAAAGCTTCCGAGGCGGCCATCAAGCAACCGGTGCAGGAGACCTTCGTGGGCCGCGACTTCGACAGAGACGTGGACCTCACTATCGTCAAAGTGCATGCTGATGGCCTGGTCACACTCGACAAAGCGACAGAGGCCCTCACCAAGTGGATCACCGACAGCGGCATCGAGAAATCGCACTTCCAGATCCAGGGCCAAGACACCTCCAGATACTTCACGGTTCAGTTCACGGGCCTCCCTGGGCCCGCCGCTCGCCGAGTTCAGAAGGCCGTGGACTGTCTCCGCAATCGCGATGGCAGCTGGTCCCGGCATCCGCGCCCCGGCTATCGCGGGCAATGGGCATGTTGAGCTGCGGGTGGGGCCAGACAAGTCTCCCAAGCAGATCAAGACAGAGATCGTCGGCAAGCGCATCCGCCAGGCCCTGGAGCGGGCCTTCCCTAACCACACCTGGAGAGTCGACCGTGCCAAGGGTTGGATTTCGGCCAACTGCTCCCCCGTTTTCTCTTTTACAGTACATCCTAGACCTGATGAAGCTACGACGGTCGCCGACCAGGACACGGGCCCCCCCGCTCGGGGCATCACCCGCACGCAGATCAAGGACGCCATCAACGACGTGGTTACGCCCGAGGCTGCCCCCCAGTTTTGGCTTTGACATGATCGCCAAAGGCTTGAAGCGCGCGCCGAGCGGCCCCTCTCCGAGTCCGGTGGTTGGGACATGGAATGCGCGAGCCCTCCTCAGCTACCAAGGGCGCCGAGCGGTGGAGAAGTCTTCCCGCCTGCGCCCCCCCCCTCGACAAGATGATCCTCGGCGTGCAGGAGGTCCACCAGAACCACGCTCAGCTCGTCGCCTCCATGCGGAATATCAGCACCAAGTTCTCCATGCACTCCTCCTTCGCGCCAGGTCGCAATGGGGAAGTCAGCGGCGGTGTAGCTACAGTCTTCCCCATCTGGTCTCAATGCGGCGAGCGAGCCCTCCCTCCCTGGGCGCGTCTTGCGCGCTGTCTTCCAGGCCGACGACCAGAGGCTGATCTTCTACAACATACAAGACTACGAGATCAACAATGCGGCGGCCAGGCGCATCTCGACTAAGATCAATAGCGACATGCACCTTGCGAAGGCCGACCCGAGCAAAACCGCGTTTGTCGTCATCGGGGACTTCAACTTCGCCGCCGTCGGGAAGCTGAAACTCACTGAGCCCAATGCTAGAGCATCGTAGGAGGCCACCGAGACTCCCAAAGTTTCGGCGCGCAAGTGGCATGGAGCGCCCATGCACTTGGTGGAGATCGAGGGCAGCGACACCACCCACTTCTGCGCGGAGACGATGGCGGAGTCGACCATAGACCGCTGCTTCTGCTCGATCGCACCCTGCCAGATGATCCAGCTTGCCGTTACCCCCACCACATTCTCTACTCCCGAGCTGCTGTCCCGCCGGCGGGTCAGCGACCACGCCGCAGTTTTCGCCTCCTTCGCCACGCGCGACCTCAAGGCCGAGAAGAGCCAGCCGATCCCCCAGTACATCTTCAAGTCACCCATCTTCAAGCAGATTGCGGAGAGGGCGTTCTCTCACACTGACCACGACAAGCTTTCCCCGCCAGGTAGATTGCTACAGACTACGGAACTCCTGCGAGAAGTTGCACCCGCTGCTCGAGACCGCACTCACGAAGAACATCCAGGGCAGGGGGATGTCCAGCTTCAGCTAGCCAAGTCGCTGGCCCGTGCGGCGCGGCGCCAGGATCGCACGCTTGCGGGCAGACTCCTTCATGCTCATGCTAAAGCGCAAGACATCCTCGACATCAGCAGCGACCAGATCAAGCTCATCGACCCTGCCGCGTTCGAGGAGTGGGCCAGCGCCCTCTTCCGCCAAGACGCTGACCAACGGCAAGCCGCCATCGATCTGGCACGCCAGCGCGGACGCCCGCCCCATGCCCAAGCCCGCGCTCAGTCACAAGCACTGCACCGCAAAATACAGCCCTGGAACCCGATCAGAAAACGCTTAGTGCTGACCGGTGCGAAGACGGCCACGGGGACTGCGACGGAACCGACTGAGAGATCGCAGAAGCTGATGGAGCACTCGCAGCCCGTCTTCCAAGGCAAACGCGTGGACACCGCGGCGGCGGAGCACTACCTCGACCGCTGCGCGCCCAAGAACGACTTCAACAGATACCAGCCTCCCGTTTACGAGACGCTCAGGAGGTTCGCGAACAGATCATCCCCCACTTCTCCCGGCATGCACGGGCCCCCCTACATCGCGCGGTCCGCGCATGAGAAGTGCCTCTGGCAGGTCGCGACTCGGCTGCTCAGCGGCGGCCCCCGCCCCGACGAAGCCAATGCGACGGCCCAGGCATCTCTTCTCATGAGGGGGAACCAGACGACGCTGAGCACTTCGGCTGCCACCGTGACCACTCAAAAGTCCGAGTCCTGGGGATTCGGAACACCTCCCTCAAGATCATCAGCAGCACGATGAATGCTGCGATGGCCGCGGTGGCTGCCAACGCGGCCCCAGCATCGCAGCGCGGGTTCATCCACCACCGCAACTTCGACTACAACATCCTCGAGCTGGACGTCGAGAGCCGCATCGCGACCGCCGACCCCAACACCATGACCAAGCTGCCTGTGTTGGCGTCGCTGGACATCGCGCAGGCCTTCCCGAGTTTCGCCCACCAGTTCATCCGCCTCGCGCTGAAGGCGATGGGCGCGCCTGAAGCTGTTCTGAATTTCTTCGACCTAATGTATCACAACATCCTCGCGCTGGCCCCGTGCGCGGGCTCGTACGTTCCGCTCTTCTACATCCGCTCGGGCATCATCCAGGGGCGCGGGTGGAGTGGCACACTCTTCGCGATGGGCACCTCCTGCTTCCTCCCCGACCTTGAGCAGAAGCTCGAACTCAGGGGCTACGGGCTGCGCCGCGCCTGTGCCGATGACCTCGGGCTAGCGCACGCAGCGGTCGTCCACCTCGCGCACCCGGAGGGGATGATGGCTCTCGCGGAAGACCTTGCGGGCCTCGCTTTGAAACCCGCCAAGTGTCACATCATCCCACTCGTGGGCCTTGTCGATGACGAGCGCGTGAACAAGCTGCGCAGCGCCCTGACCGTGATCGCCCCCCGCTTTCAAGAGTTCAACATCTGCGACCGCCTGACCCACCTCGGACTTCTTCTGGGGCCAGGGGCGACCGAGCGCCTGATCCACGAAAAGGCCTTCCAGAAGTTCCGCTGGCGCAGCAAGATGTTTAGTGACAGTGGCGCTCCCTCCATGGGACCCGCACAATTGTTCAACAGCCGTGCCCCCCCCTGTCCTCAGCTACTTAGCCCAGTATGAGATGTTGCCCCACGAGTCCTTCAAAGTCGAGAATTGGGCCGATGCCACTGTCTTGAGGTTTCCTAACGAAGCGTTCAGGGTCAAGGACTGGCCGAGGCTACGAGACTGGGGTGCACACGCTCCAAGGTCCATGCAGCTCACGCTGATTGCCACGATCGTCCGAGCTGCTACTTCCACCTTCCACAAGTTCCCCGAGATTCGCCTGCGCCTCCACCAGGGCCTCGACCAGTACGGAGATGACCAGACCCTGTTGGGCGCGGCTCGGGCTGCCCAACATCTCTCACCGCCCTGGTGGAAAGTGCCGCCTTTCGTCGAGACGGTCCATCAGATCGCGTCCGCGGAGACGGACTACCGCTACTACTCACCCGCGTTGCTGGCCCCTGCCCTCGAGGCCGCGAAGGCGTCACTCGCGGCAGGCAAGCCTGCCTGCGTCCAGCGGCTGGCGCACGCTGCTGCGAGGCACGCAGTGGGCGCGGACGAGATTGGCTCGTTCTTGATGAAGCGGATCAAGTTCGAGCTGCCCGACCTCGAGGACATCTTCGTGAAAGACCCCGAGGTGCTCGACAGGGTGAAGATCGCCATGAAGAAGCTGCCGCCGTCGTGGGCAGCGACATGGATGAGGACTCTGTCCTTTTCGTGGCTGACATCAAGCAGGATCATCTATGAGTGCGGGCGCAGGCCATGTATTTTCCTGTGTGCCGCTGGGGCAGACAACGAGAAGCACTACCTGACGCGCGGCCCCCTGGCTGCTGCGGTGGCGGCAGCGACCAGATCCACAGTCCAGACCGAGGCGGTGGCGAACCTCGCGCTGCTGGACAATAGCAACGAGAACATCGAGCGGGCGGTCGTCGCGCGCGGCACCTACCACGCGCTCCACATGGAGAACGGACTCGACGCGGAGACCCGGCGCTCGGCGGCGCGGGCGGCGCTGCGCGCCTCGCGGACGATGCGCTGCCCGCCCCGTGTGCAGCGTGCTCCGCTCCCCCGTGCTGGCGGAGTCCATGGAGCTGCCGCGCATCCACTTAATCAAATACACGTACCTCGAGCGGCCGCTGCGGACCGCTCCCCACCCGCGAGCGCCCCTGTGAGTGGGGGCTAGGCGCGGAGGCCGTGGCGCGGCTGCGCGCGGGGGCGCGCGGCCTGCGTGGCGGCGGAGGCAAGACCGAGCGCCTCGGCACGCTCGACTCATCCTCATCCTCATCCTCTACTTCCCCAAAGACACCCAGAGACATCTGGAGACCCCCGAAGACCTCCGAAGACCTCTAGAGACCTCGCGAGGCAACTCCGTCAGATACCCTCCTTCTCCTCCTCCTGGGCAGCTTTGGGCTGGTTTCGGAAGCTTTCGGGCGCCCTCGTCGCTTCGGCTGGGCTCGCTTCGAGATCCAGGTCAGCATACGACGCAGGACAGGCCTGGGCGTCGACTTCGGCGGGAAGGCTACGAGCCTACAGCTTTCCGACCGACCGACCGACCGACCGACCGAGGAGGAGGAGGAGGAGGAGGAGGCGACCGATCATTGTCCCCATGGATGTCTTATAGCAAGATCTCCTGACGTGCGTGCGCGTGCCGACGGGTGCCTGGCGCCGCGCCCCTGCGCGCGCACGCGCGCCGGCGAGATCGACTAGGTCTTGCCACGACCGATGGTTCAGTCGGGCACGTCCCTCTACAGGAATGAAAAGCAAACATAGTTTTACAAAGATCGTCTGTGTATGTGTGTTCCATTGTTGCGCATGTGTTAACATATTGCTGCACTCTTTTCAATGTTCTCCAAAAACTCGCGAGGAGGAGGACGTGCCCGACATAACGCGATGGCCGCTGGCGAGCGCAGGATGGCGAGTCAGTGCGAAGCAAGGCTTGGCCATGTGGCGTGTTCCAGGGTGGACCTCGCCCTCGATGGTGCCATGCCGCCGCCTCCATCCACTTTTTCCTCGCAAGTAGCTCCTCCCTGTCGCACCCCCCGACGTGTCGGTGGGGCGGGCCGCGCGTTTCGATTCAGACTTCCTCACCATTTCTGACCCTGGAGTCTGCAACAATGTCAAGAATGGAGGGCGGTTCGTGTTCAACATGTGGCAACCAACTTAGCGTTGTTCCAAGAACTGCAATCATTTGAAAGATGGAGGGCGGGTTGTTCCCAGAATGTGGCTCCATTAGCGCCGCGAACACTCGTTGAAAGAATTGCAGCAGCTTCAAAGATGGAGTGCGGATCGTTTTCAAAATGTGGCTCTCGCTTTAGCGCCGCCCACGTTCGCACTAAATTTTAGCAGCAGCTTCAAGAACGGAGGGCGGTTTCTGTTCAAAACGTGGCTCTCACTCTAACGCCGCGCACACTCGTTGAAAAGTGTCTAGCCGTTTCACGGATTCGCATGCTCGAAGTCGCAGGAACAGTGTTCTGACGTGACCGAGGGTTACCCGGACGCAACAGTCACGTTCATTTTCGGTGTTGAAGACCCAGGAATTGTGTTCTGGCGCGGTTTAGGGTTGCTAGAATGCGACAGCCACATTGATTCGTGGCGGTGAAGTTCCAGGAATGGCGTTTTGGCACGACTGGGGTGTCTCACCCAGTTGTTTTTTCATCGGAGCATTCCCCCCAAGGAATATTTATATGTGCAGGGACCTATGCAGGGGGAGTTTGGAAGAAGGGTTTATTACAGCATCATTGGTGCATCTTGGATTCGAATTGATCTTTCTCCGCCTCCTCCCCCTCTTGGGCCCCCCCCCGTCCCTCTGAACGCCACACAGCGGCTGACGTCTGAGGCGGCTTCTTTGGGCAGCAGATACGGGACTCGAGCTCTATACGTCTCCTCGGGCGGGCTTGTCCCCACGTCTTCGGCTGCAGGGGCCGACCCCCGAGCACTACCAGCGTACTTGCACTGGACGGCCGACGATGTGATGTGTTCAACCCGCTGCCCCAGAGTTGCCGACCCATTCCCCAGGAGTGGCTCTTCGCCCCGGATCCGTTTTTGATGGTTGTGGGGCAAGACAACGGTTCCGGGAGGGCGAAATCGAACGAATACATTGGGATTGAAGAAACATGTCGTCGGAGATCTAGGCTTCCGCTTGATTTCGGGCGCCAGTTCGGGCCCGAGGCGGCTGTTCAGGACGATTTGGGCACCTTCGGCGGAACCCTCGCGACGAGGCGCAGCCATTTGAAACCCTTTGAGGACCGTGTTTGTTATCTCGGCGCCGGGGGTCAGGAGAGCAAGTAGAGGGCGAGGAAGAGGAGAACAGTAGAGGGCCAAGGGGCAGGAGCAGATGGACGGAGGAGCGGGAGGTGGGAGGTGGGACGTGGGAGGGCGAGGTCACCTTCTTCTGCCTCCACTCCCCCCCCTTCCCCCCCACTTGTTCAACCTCCTATTACTCCTCCCCCTCGGCCTCTTCCTCTTGCTTCCCCTCCCTGTTCCGCCTCCATGTCCCCCTCATTCCTCCCCCCCTCACTCCTTTCTCCCCTCCCTCTCCCTATCCTCCTCTTCTTCCTCGTCGTCCTTCTCCTCCTCCTCCTCCTCCTCCTCCTCCTCCTCCTCCTCCTCCTCCTCCTCCTCCCCCTCCCCTCCCCCTCCCCCCCCTCCCCTCCCCCTCCCCCCTCCCCCTCATCCTCCCTCCTCCTCCTCCTCCTCCTCCTCCTCCTCCTCTTCCTCCTCCTCCTCTTCATCCTCCTCCTTCTCCTCGGGCGCATCCTCCTTCATTCATCTTCCTGCTTCCCCCCCGCCGAAATCGAGGAACGACGCCAGGATGTTGCTTGTGTTGCACAAACAGTCTGAGATCTGTGTCCCTGGTGGCTCTCGGGCCAGCAATCGGGCCTCCAGAGGGTGTTCGGCACGGTTCAGGCACACCTTGAGCGCTCTCGACGAGGTGCAGCCGCCGAAAAGCATCCCGAGTCTGGAAAAGCTTCTGGTAACCGACGAAATTGATCGAAAACCTTGTATTTGGTGCTCCCCGTGGCAGCACGATGACTGTACTCCTCTTCCCCAGGCCGACTGGAAGGTGTTCGTCGTGAACACCAAGCCGGGGCCGCTGTCCCACGCCAGGTCCGTCGAGGATCGGATGTTGATCGAACCCACAATGTTGGCTTGGCTTCGAGTGAAGTCAGATTTCTTGGAGTCAAATTTCTTGGCTTGACTTCGTCTTAGGTCTGCGTGAGCAGGGGGCGTAATTCAAGACTTCTGTCCCCCGCAGAGAGGACGTCGAGCAGGTGGTCCCCGGGCGCATCCAGGAGATGCTCGGGTGGATGGAGGACGCGCGGCGGGGGCGCATTCGGCTCTAGAAGCACCACAGGTGCACAGGTCCACCTCGCCCCCGCCCCCCTCCCAGGGAGGGGGGGGGGCAGCCAGGAGGAGGAGGAGGAGGAGGAGGAGGAGGAGTTCTTCTCCCCCTTTCAACCCCTGAAAGTGACAACACCACTGGTGAGGCGGCCCGGTGACGAGGCTTGGTGCGGTGGAGGAGTGCGTTGACCCCGCCACCTGAACTCACAGAGAGGCACCATCCCCACAAGGGGGAAAGCGAGGTGGCGCTACATTTCGCCGAGAGGCCGTCCTCGCCATGCCCCACCGACTGGACAAGGTGAGGACATTACAGTCGGGGCGCTGAAGAAGGAACCCTTTTCGCTGGGGAGGGGCTCGGTGTTCTTTGATTGTTCCACACCTTGCCTAAGGTTTCCCTTCAGTTTTCGATGGTAAGTCGAAGTTTAACTTACGAAAAAAAGGGCCTCGTTCCTTATTTAGGGTTCCTTAGGTCAACGCCCCGACTGTACGAGGCGGCATGAGGGACCACTTCCAACCAAGAAAAGAATGAAGCCAGATGCGGTCCGTGAAAAGACTGGGCCAACGCCCACACATTCCGAGAGGCGCCGAGAGCCAGCACGAGCTGGCAGCCCTAAGAAAGTTAATCCCTCCTGCGTCACAGCAAAAGGTGGGGAGGAGGCTAGTCCGAATAACCAGAGGACACATTCCCGCGCGGGGGCGCGTCGGAGTGTCCCGAGGCTTCGGCTCGTGGCAACTGACAGACATGGTGGAGGGTGGCGGTCTTAGCCAGGGCCGCCCCTTCGTCCTGACGTCGCAGGTCTTCCTCAGAATCAGAGTAGGCAGGACGGCGCGCGAGACTGACCAGGGGAAGACCACCAGGATGCCTGTCCAAATCCACACGATTGAGAGGGCAGTCTACAGACACCGAGGGTCTCTTGGGATGCCTGCCCTTAGACACTTCGGACCAAACTCGCTTCCCGAAGAGCGTGGGCCTACGAGGGCACTGCTCAGGTAAACATTTGAATCTCCCATGAGAGGAGTAGGCCTGCAGGCAGTACGTATGATGAAAACAGCACTGTCCGAGCACGTCAGGCTTAAACAGGAATGGCCATGGGCTTGTATATCATCTGGCGGGAGGTCACGGTGGCCTGGGCAATCTTCGTCCAGGGGCTTGCGGGGCCACAATGCCCTACACACTTTAAGACATTTCACACACATCCAAAAAGTCCCGAAATGCAACCAAGAATGAGCAAGCTTGGTAGGAGCGATTATGTCTGGCTTGGGCGGACGCACCTATTCCACTTCGAAGTCTCGCAGGGGGGCGAATTTAGGAAGTAAATGCATCGCTCGGAGGCAGAAGGCTCGGGCAAACGAGACATCTCTAGGCAGAGCTGCGTCAAATTATTTGTCGAACGGGTGTCTGGGCAGGGTTGTCTTGGCCAGGGAATATGCTTGGCTATTTCCCAGCCTCCAAAACCTTAAAAGCGGGGGAATCGTTTTCATCATCTACTTACTGGTGCGCACGCACATGGTCGAGGGAGGACAAGAACGTAAATCCATCCTCAGCCCGCGCCTGCAAAAAAGCCCTACATATATTAGTTGATCGCTCAGCTGTGTGGCACGACCTGCGGCGAAAGTCTTAACAGCGTTCTCACAATCCGAGACCATGGAGGAGGGCCCCGTGATCAACTGGACTCCTGCCACACAACGACGACGACGACGACGACGACGACGACGACGACGACGACGACGACGACGACGACGACGACGACGACGACGACGACGACGACGTGCCCCCCCGCCTGCGGGGTCTGGGGCACGTGGGCCCACGCAGGCCCCCAGGCTGAGGCCAAGGAGCTCCTGGCCGGGGCTGTACCGAACGACACTCCGGGAGGCCCCAGAAAGCTCTTTGATGACATTTCGCGCACATGACGGGGGTTCAGCTTCAAAGTAGCTTCTGCTCAGCTCGAGCATCAATCCAAGGACCCCTATACCCAACCCTCAGAGCCAATCCTTTTCCCGAAGTTACGGATCTATTTTGCCGACTTCCCTTACCTACTTTCTTCTATCGACCAGAGGCTGCTAACCTTCAACCAAGCCTTGACGCACAGGCACCACCAGGCGATGCACTGAAACTTGAACCCTAAACCCTATACCACCGCCCCAGCCAAACTCCCCACCTGACTATGTCTTCCGCACAGATCAACCATCAAAAAAGACAACCTTAGATCCAAAACTCGAACACCTTCAAACGGTCCTGGCTGGGGGGGTCCGAGGGCCATCTGATAGCCAAAGAATCTTCGCCCATGTACGCCGGGGGGGGTGACGGTCGCCAGGGTGAGGGAGGGCACCGTGGGCAACAACGAACAATTTGTCGGGGGAGGAAACGAAGTTCAGGATAGACCCCAACAATTCCGAGCCTACCAACTCTTCTCTTTCATCCTGTAGCTTCGGACACTTCCATAATCTCTGAAAAATTGAAGCAGTAGGGGCGCCACACAGCTCGCATTCAGCTTGAAATTAGCAACCGCAACCTCGAGCACGCATGCGGGCCCAGAGCCCGTCGCACACGCAACATCGAAGAAGCCCTTTCTGGAGCGGCGTAAACTTCGACGATGCCAAATATGAAGCAACCACATCAAAGCAGAGACGGTCGTGCCCAAAGTGGTACTTCTGAGCGAGGTACCGCTCGATTCCCCTAAGGACGGCCGCGCGAAGGTGAATCCTGAGGAGGGCTGGCGAGGCGAAAAGGGGCTCGCGACAGTTCCCAAGATCGCCCCGAAGCCGATTGAACCCAGGCACCCCCCACCCAAGCCCAACCAGAGCCAGGCACATCCCCGACAGGGGGCCCGAGACGCCCCTCCAGGAACGAGGCGGCTTGCTCCAAACCGACGACCACCACTGCCTCAAGTCAGAGCGTGAATTACCTCCCCCGCTTTCGCTTCCAGGCAAAACCAAGCCGTACCACGCGCCTCCTCGTCGAGCGGCCTGACCAGTACAGGCCGCAATTTGGCATCGTTTGGTATCTCTTGGAAGCGACGGTGGTCAAAAGCGAGGGAGGTTTGTTTTCCCCCTAGTGAAGGGCGGAGGAAGAGGCCCGGATCTCCCTGTCGTCCTCCTATTCTCCTTTTGGGAGGGCGGCGCGAGAGCGCGAAGTTATTCGCGCTTCGCGCTTCGCGCAGCGCGAAGCGCGAAGTTGGGAGCCCTAGCTCCCGGAATCGCGGCAGCGTGAAGGGCGGAGGAAGAGAGGCCCGGATCTCCCTGTGCCATCTGCAGACCACGGCGACTTAGGGTGGGCCACGCGTGGCCCCCCTCTCCAACAACAGCAGGGCAGACAAAGAGACCTGCCACGACAGGAACAAGGGCTCCCTCGAGGGCGCGAAGTTATTCGCGCTTCGCGCTTCGCCGTCCTCCTTCCTCCTCCCCCTCCTCCTCGTCCTCCTCTTCTCCTCCTTGGGGGGCGGCGCGAGAGCGCGAAGTTATTCGCGCTTCGCGCTTCGCGCAGCGCGAAGCGCGAACTTAGGAGCCCTTGTTGATCCGCCGACCCGAACTCCGACGAAGGGAAAGCATTTCAGAGGGAGAGGCCCCGTAGCAGTCGGCTCCACAGTCAGTGACGGGGAGGGGGCCGGAAACCCAAAGACGACGGAGGCGAGTCCGGCTCAGGACCCGAACAGACTCGCCGAGGCGCTCGGCTCTGGCGGCACCGTCGGCTCGGCGCTTCTCGGCCCTGGAGTTGCCCCCCCGTGACGGACAGGGGCCCATTGCGCATCGTCCACCCCCAAGTTCACTCCCGAAGAAACGAGGGGGCCAGTCAATTCTAACCCGATGGAGTCCTGGATGTCCAAGCCGACAGCCTTGGAGCTGCTATGAGGGCGGTCTTGTCGGCCGAAAGAGTAGCACCAATCTTTGCGGTGGGATTCTGGAGCGCAAGTGCTCCTTGAACAACACCAGCAACCACTTCACGGTGGGTGCCCACTGCTACAATACTATTGTTGTCGATGTAAAGCTTGAAATCAACGTTGAGACTCCGGGCGATGCTATCAAGGGCACCGGTTCTGTTGATCCTAACCATCATAGTGGTCAAATTGCAACCCGCAACAACCCCATACTCCTCGCGCTCAGCATCTGATATCATCGCCTGGATGCCGACGCGACGGGCCGACCTGTAGGCCGAAGTGGAAACTCGCAGGACGGCTAGCGGGAAATCGTACTCGACGCCGCGCTGGAGCAGTTGAGGGAGCGGTAGCGTTTCGCAATACTTAACGAAGTTCAGGAGGAAAAGAAACACACAGACACAATGAATCCTCGATATCCCAGAAAAAATATGGGAAGTGGGGGGGAAGACAGAAACCCAGAAAATATGGGAAAAGATGGGGAATGTTTTTATTTGTGTGAATTTATTTGTGTGTCCTGGGGCCCCTTCAGAAGTCCCACAAGAGATTGCAGGAAACCAAGCCCCGAGCCACCTTTCCCTCTGCCCGCAGCAGCTGGCGCCACACGGTGCCACCCGCACCAGTGAGGCTGCCTGCGGCAAAAGACGGCTTAGGATGCGCGGTTTCCCAGGCGTCGGCGATGGGCCTGCGGGCTTTCGCCCACACTCTCTAGGGGGCACAAAATATTCCGGTCGTCGCAGGCCTAGAGGTTGACACCAACACCAATTTCGTCGGTGTGCATACACCGAGGGAAAAAAGTTCCCGATCCCGGTGATGGTGGTAGTATTTTGGTTTCCAAGGTGGCCCAAATATTACCACCAACACCGAAATCTAGGATCATCTTCCCCTTGTGGAGGAACCCCCCTGTGTTGGTGTTGGTGCCCATTTCCAGGCCTCCAAGGTCGGCCTGACTCCCGAAGGATTTTTTATCAGGTGCATGAGAACTATGGCAACCTGGGCGGGGAGCAGCCCCGACGTTTCCATCACGAGGAAGATCGAAAGGAGCTCGGCCAGCCCTTGGTCCGAAAGCCACCCCATGTGACGGATGTGAAACCCGTCCG